CTGTGAGCTGCAGATGCCATCTGCTGAAGGCAAATGCCTTGTTAACTGTGCTATTCTCGATTTCTTCACAGTCCGTAGCTCCTACCAACATCACCCTACTCCGCCACTCCCACTCACTGCCCCAAATGCAGCCACATACAGAAACTGACCACAGGCCCCCTTGGCACAGCTCTCCACTTTAACTGGAACTCTGATCTAGCATGGAGGACTCCCTTGCACTGCTGTGACCTCCCTTGGGGAGCACTTGGAGAATGATGTTATCCCACCAGTAAACGCCGATGTGCCAGTCATCCTGCACAGCGACAAGTGAGAAAATCCACCTAATGGGGCAAAAAGCTCACTGTGGCTCACTGCCCAGAGTTCCGCGTTTGCTTGGCCCCATTACTCTGGGCCAGTGGCAGCACAGAGCATCATGGTGGGAGCTTGGGTTTGGCAAATCTACCTCACCTCACGGTGGCCAAGAAGCAAAGAGAAAGTAGGAGGGGCCAGGGCTCTAGTATCTCCTGCAGGGGCATGTCTCCATTGACCTAACATTGAGCCCTCTCTGCTAAAGGTCCTACCTCCTCCCAAGACCACAAAGCTGAGAACCAAGCCTTCTAGACACACAGGCCACCGAGGGCACTTCAAATCCAAACCACAGCAGTTTAGAACAATATACCAAAGTCTGCTGTTCAAATATTGCTGTGTCTGCTGCATGTACCAGGGATTCTGTAGACTGTCACTGGCCACACTGAGCCTCATTCACCACTGGGAATCAAAGAAAATCCACTGGGCTGACACTGATCTTGCATTTCCTGAGGAAATAAGTTTGCAAAGGGAATAAAGAGTAGAAAAAAATATTTTAATGGCGGCATTTAAATGACGTAGAAAAAGGTTTCTAAGAATGCTGAAGCTTTCACTGATACACTAACAAGTTTGTGCCTATGCACTAAAAAGACAGACGGAAAAGACAGCCACCCTCATCCCTGAGTCCCCATCAGTCATGCCCTTCCCTGCCTCCCCACCAGCCACCCTCATCCCTGCCTCCCCACCAGCCACCCTCGTCCCTGCCTCCCCACCAGCCACCCTCATCCCTGAGTCCCCATCAGTCATCCCCTTCCCTATCTCCCCACCAGTCACCATCATCCCTGCCTCCCCACCAGCCACCCTCGTCCCTGCCTCCCCACCAGCCACCCTCGTCCCTGCCTCCCCACCAGCCACCCTCGTCCCTGCCTCCCCACCAGCCACCATCATCCCTGCCTCCCCACCAGCCACCCTCGTCCCTGCCTCCCCACCAGCCACCATCATCCCTGCCTCCCCACCAGCCACCCTCGTCCCTGCCTCCCCACCAGCCACCATCATCCCTGCCTCCCCATCAGTCACCCTCGTCCCTGCCTCCCCACCAGCCACCATCATCCCTGCCTCCCCACCAGCCACCATCATCCCTGCCTCCCCACCAGCCACCTCTTCCATGCCTCCCATTTCTGTGCAGTTACCTTTCATACCAACCTGTTGACTGCAAAGTGGATCACTCTCCCAGATGAGTCAACTTCTGGGCCCCTCCGTGTCTCTACCCAGGCTCTCACTAGTGATGCTATCCTGGGACTACAAGACCCCTGTTCAGGTTCTCCTTTAAATCCCACATTCCCCAGTGGTTCAGCAATCTGCTGCTCAAGTGTCATTCAGGGTTTTCCAGATCTTTTAAGATCTTCAACTGGAGCTTCCATCTCTGTTCTTAGCACTGAACCAGTGAACGCACGTGTGAACTGAGAACGTCTATGTGGCACCCTTAGGTCCAGATGTATTTTGGGATCCACGCGTCCCTGCTTTCAGTGTGGCGAGGTGGTGCACACCACTGTGTAGTGTCCAACAGCATCAAGAGGCAAGACTTCACCACCTGATATTTCAGTAACAAAATACACAGGCTCCCTCCTTGTCACATGCAAACACTCTCACTAAACCTAACGGGAGACGACTGAAAAGTAGTTCATTCAGGGGGCTGCAGAGATGGCGCAGTGGTTAAGAGCACTGACCACTGGTTCAATTCCCAGCACCCTGTGACAGCTCACAACTGTCTGTAACTACAGTTCCAGGGGGTCTAACACCCTCACTCAGACAGACACACATGCAGGCAAAAACACCAATGCACATAAAATAAAAATAAATAAATCGTTTAAAAATAGTTCATTCAAAAACTCTGGTTGGTGGCTGCGATCGTTAGCTCCTACTTTCCACTAGACTAGACTAAGAACCCCTTCAGGGGCAGCGAGGAAACCACCCGCTGCCAAGCGTGGCGACCTGAGTTTGATCCCTGGAGCTGCACAGTGGAGAGAGCGCCGATTGCTGCAAGTTGCCTTCTGAACCCCACGTGTGTGCGGGGGCACTTTCGAACACCACGGGCACTAGTGAGGCGGACTTTTGGGTGTGTCTATCAGGGCTAGATTGGAGAGGATTAGGTGAGGAGTTGATGCCCACCTTGATGGTTAGTGAACAGTCTCTCATAGTCTGGGAGTTGAACTGAGTAAAAAGAGAAGAAGGAAAAAAGACGGAAAGCTGAGTGTGGAGTTCCTGACTCTGCTCTTCAGCGGGCATTACAGACCAAGCTGTTCCGAGGACCCGGACCTCTGCTCCGTGACGGCTGTAAACTCTGAACTGTGAGCCAAAGCAAGCCCTCCTCCAGTGAGGCTTCTGTGCCTCTCAGAGCTGCATGAAGGGACCAGGAAGCTGGCACAAGGATACAGTGGTCATTTACACAGTCCAGACTTGAAGGAAGCCTGTTTTCCTTCAGGGTGTCCACATTGCAAACTCTGGTTCATCCAAATTGGTCTTTTCTAGTTAGCGGGTTACTGGGGCTCTCTTTACAGTACTGTCTTCAGTGAGGAAAACTTCATGTTTGCATGCCCCTGGCATTTCAAATCTTTTCATTTTAACTCTATTTCCAAAGTATTTTCACCTTCCACACCAGAAACCAAATTCCTCATTTACTTAAGCAAAATGTGAACACACAAGGATCATTTGGTTTCCCACTGCCTACAGAAGGGCTCTGTTCAACAGCAGCTTCATTATTCTTTGTGAGAATTGGTTTGCATGTTTAAAGTCCCAGTGAAGTTCACCCCATCTCCCCCCAAATAAGAGCTAGCTTTAAAAATGTGAGTTTATCTAACATGTAATGTAAATCTACCACCACAGAACACCTCCCACACACACTGCAGTTAAACATTCTCTGATTTGTCTCCTCCAAACCCCTCCAATTTTTAAAATTTTAAACACAGCTAAGCCATATATATCATGGGATACTAGCTGTATGGGTCACAGCACTCCTGTGACAGGCAATTCCTGGGCAGTTATTTTGACATTAGAAAGTCACAATCCATCAACTTAACAGCAGGGCAATAATTTTGGGGACCAGGGTGACAGCTTTTCAAATGACAGTGTAGGGAGCAAACAGTAGCTCCAAGACACCCTGCCTGAGAAGGAAGATAGAAAACTAAACAGAATGTCCTTCCATCCCTAGAACCAACCATTACATCATGTCTTCCCATGTGTGCACGCTTCCTCCAGAGACTGAGCAGAAATGTTCCGCCTATAGAGCCAAGAAAACGCTGGGATGAGACTCTGGGATCTGCCACTGATAGATTAAAGAAGGGCAGGCTTGACTTTCCCCTCTGCATGGCACACACTGTGATACTCACATAACACTTCAGAAGAAGACACTTGACTCTTCTACATTTTAAGTTACTCAGCTCTCAACATTCTGTAAAGCACAGCTCCTGGGGGTGTGGCAGTACTTGGACTTGATTCTGGAAAGGGTTACAGGGCCAATAACCCTGTTTGAAGCCCTTCCTGTACACACACACACACACACACACACACACACACACACACTCACACAGAACCTCAGTCTCCCATTCTGCTCTCAGAGACATTCTGAGGACAGGGATCATGGAGTGCTTTTGAGTGTCCGTCAATGGCCAAGACAGAATGGATGATGGTGGAATGGGAGGGTGGGTGGGTAAGTGGTTATCATATGCTCCATAACAATTGTTAACACGCACGCACACACGCCTTAAAGGACAGCTGTGCCTTGATAAAAGCATAACACTCTTTTACTCTAGAAAAGGGAAGTGAAGGATAGGCGGGAAATTGTGAGTTGATGGCTGAGATTGCAAGGAGGCTCCGATGGTGGCTGTAGTCGGTGCTGTGGCTAAGAGAGATGGAATTCAGGGAGGTCATGTCTCCCGGATGGGCTGAGTCCCTTCTATGGACGGTGGTGTTTGTGGAGCCCAGAGGCTGCAGCAGCTAGTGCTCACCCCAGCCTCTCCCAGCTCTTACCACCTGCCTTAACTACTGACAACATACATGACAGAATCATTTTCAGGTTATAGCTTCCGTGCGAGTGTGTGTGTGTGTGTGTGTGTGTGTGTGTGTGTGTGTGTGTGTGTGTGTCTGTCTGTCTGTGTACATGCACATGTGTGGAGGCCAGAGCTCAACACTGAGGTCTTCTTCACCTTAGTTTGACACAGGGTCTCTCATGAACCTGCAATTTGGATTTGGCCAGAGTGGCTGCCCAGCAGGCCCCAGTGCCTGCTGTCTTGTCTGCCATCCTGGGACTGTAGGTGAGCAGTGCAGCTCAGGGTATGTGAGCTGGGATGGAGGTCAGGTCCTCATGATGGTGTATCAAACACTTCACTGACCGAGCAGTCTCGGCCGTCTCCCTGCCCTTACAGTTCTCTATTTTAAAGACAAAGAAATTCACTACATGGACAAAATAACAGCCAGGACTGGATGATCAGATCCTAAAACAGACAAAGGAGTGACCACAGTCTGCATTTTATGTCAGTAAACTTTTACGGCAGTTTCAAAGGCACGTCTCCCTCTTTTCTAAAACCCACCTTCACAGGAATAGCTGCAATGCCTAAGCCATGAGCATCTGAAAACACATTTCAGAAAAGCCATTCTCAAGTACCCGGCAGCGGCGGCGGCGGCGGCAGCGGCAGAAGCAGGCAACAGTGTGTCCTTACCTGCAGCTGGTATTCTTCCATGTAGCACGGCTTCTCCGGGCAGCAGGTCTTTAGAATTGGAGGTGAATGGTGATTGTCTAAACGTGTCTTCTGAAAAGAAAGGGCTGGGGCAGGGGGAGGGAGGTTTAGTAAATTAAAGTTATTTAACACACCCAGCGCATCTGGCTCCAAGCATACACACACAATACTGGAAAGACTGGTGCTTTTTCAATGACATTTAAGGAATATAAATAAGACTATGCTTGTAACTGAGGAAGAGAGGACAGGTTGTCTCAGAAGAGCATCACATGGGCATTGTTTTCATACCCAGGATCCACAAATAAAACACGACCTTTATAAAAAAAAGATTTATTTTTATTTGTGTGTGTACATGTGTGTATACTCGTGTATGCATGTCTGTACTCGTGTGTGTGTGTGTGTGTGTGTGTGTGTGTGTGTGTGTGTGTGTGACACACATATGGCAGCCAGAAGAGAGGGTGGGATGCAGGGGAAGTGAAGTCAGGTGGATGTGAGCTATCTGACGTGAGTGTTGGGAACCGAACCTGAGTCCTCTCCAAAAGGAGTAAGCGTTCATAACCACCGAGCCTCTCTCCAGCCCCTAAAACATCACATTTTAAACACAGTGAAACTCAAGTCTAGGCCGGCCCAGTGGCGGGGTGTATTTCCCTGCCTGCTCACGTGCTTTCTGGGCATGAATGAAGATCACTGCTGGTTCTGAATCAAAAAGAACTTCTCTGTGTTTTCTCCAGTGGAGGAGATGGACCAGCCTGCTTGTTCCATAGTCTGTCACCTGGCCCTCAGACACTAACGGCACACATGGGAGGCACACCAGAGTGGAGCCTGGCGCTACTGCACTCAGGCAAAACCTGCTGGGCCCACAGAAACTGCAGTTCAGGTTGGAACTGGGATGGATGGTTCTGAAGCTGGGAAGACATGCTGCGGAGGACACAGGCTGCAGCTTCACAGACAAGGACAGCATCAACTTGGGCAGCATGAGCTGCTCGCAGTGACCCGTGAGAACTCCTATTGGGAGTCTCTCCACAGAACTGCCAGAGAACACTGGGGTTCTAACCCAGCGACCACAGCCACTGTCTAAATCTCTCCAGCAAACTGAGTATTGCAATCACACGTGGGGCTACACGGTATCCAATCCAGGTCCTCCCTGGAGAACAGAAAGCCCTGGCTGTGCACATCACAGAAAATCCAACCAGAGGAACTGAGACCCGAGGTGGCGGCAAGGCCATTGGCAGTTACATGGTCCCCAGATTGGAGGGACGAAGACAGACACAGAGCTAGTGATGAAGCCCCTGGGCTGAGGCTCCCTGACACAAGCTGAGGGCCAGATAAACCTAAGCTGCAGAAGAAGCCTGCACCCAGAAGAAGAGCTCTTTCCCTAGACTCTACCCCTGCCTCCCAGCAGGGCCTGGGATTGGCCAGACCTTCCCAGAGGCAGGGTGACTCAGCAGCTTGAAGGAGCAGGACAAAGAACAGATCCTAGGGCATGAGAATCCCACACCTGGTGCTGCCTTTCTAAGCATGGCCCTAGACTACAGTTACAACAAATAAATATGAAGGAGATGGTATTAAGATAAAAGTGGAAGAGAGCATTGTTTTAAAGGAAAGCACACATCATTGGGCAACACAGTTCCACTATAATGGTTAGGCTACACTGCCCGTGACTCTGCCTGGCATGCTTTGAATTTGTATCGTAAGCAGTAAGCAATCTAAACGGGTTTTAAGAGTGCACAAGCTGCGGTCCGCTCAGAGCACCGACACAGGAAAGACACGGACACAGGAAAGACAGACACGGACACAGGAAAGACACGGACATGGGAAAGACACGGACACAGGAGAGACACGGACACAGGAGAGACATGGACACAGGAGAGACATGGACACAGGAGAGACACGGACACAGACACAGACCGACCACACAGAAGCTGCAAGTGGCAGAAACATTTGCTGGCTGAGTACATGTGCGCCAGAACCGGAACTCCAGCTACACTAGCACGCTGGGGCGACCTCGCACACATTCCTTCACTTCTTGGGCCTCCATTTCTCCTCTATAAACGGGATAACAGTGCTCACACATCACCAAGGAGGTGTGAGGGTCAAACGGAAGCGTCCATGGACTGTTCTGTATGGTGCCAGTGCACACAGCAAATGCTGAATAAATGGAATTTATTTTAATGTGTAGCCCAAAGGAGAACAAATTAATCAACTTTTCCATACAAGTTAACAAAAAGGGAAGTCCCCTTTGCATAGAAGTCATTGCAACAAACAAAGACTTAGAAGCCCTCGTTAGCTGTGGGGTTAGGATAATGTCCAGCCCTCGCATGAGGAAGACTCTTAAGGACCAAAGAACATTAAGGAGTGAGGGAAAACGCTGGTCAGACGGGGCATGAGGCTTCTTGACACCAGCGCTGGGCTGAAGTTCATTGGCAGAGTGCTTGTTGAGCATGCATGAGACTGGGCTCCATCCCCATCAACACACACACACACACACACACCCATGCACACATGCACACGTTTTCCATGTCATTAACTCTGAAGCTCACACACAAAGTGACACTGCCTAAGGAAAGGTGAGTAGGCAGGCCATCATGTGACCATGATGTAGAAACTGTAGAAACTACCTTGATTTTATCTGTCTGGCTACCTACCTACCTATCTATCTATCTATCCACTTATCTTTAAGACAGGGTCTCTCTGTGTAGCTCTGCCTGTCCTGGAACTAACTCTGTAGACCAGGCTGGCCTTGAACTCACAGACATCCGCTTGCCTCTGCCTCCAGAGTTCTGGGATTAAAGGAGTGCTTATTTATTTATCTCTGAGACAGGGTCTTTAGGCTGGCCTTGAACTTGTTCCATGGCCAAGGATGATCTTCCTGCCTCTACCTCCCAGCTGCTGAGATTGCACAAACGTGGCACCACACCGGGCTGAGCCACCTTGAAATACGAGGGCTCAGGGGACCTAGTAGAAACTTCCTTTTGGGGACCCTGAAATCCCAAGAGTAGCCCTTGAAAGTGTGTTCATAAATATCCACACCACTGAGAACTGTGCCCTGCCCACTTTTATGGGTATCTATTACAGCTATGGCCAGAGTCTGTCCTCAGTTTTACAGCAGCTACTTGGTGAGTGCTTGTGCTGAGTGGGCGTGGGAACATGAGTCACACCCACCATGGTGGTGGGAGATCAGGACGTCGGCAGATCTGGATGAGAGGCATGTCCCAGCTAGGAAATACTAGCTAGGAAGTGGGGCAGGTGGCTGAGGCAATGGAGGAAAAGGGCTCGTATGACAGGGGAGGTTGGCCTGGCCAGGGGGCCCAGATGATCAGAAGGAGGGTAGTGTCACCAGGTTCCAAGAAGCCTGAGGAACATGGACTGAGGACAGTCAGCATGTAGAGCTGCAAGAAAGCCACATGGAGAGAGATGAGTGGGACCCCAGTGCTGGGAGCATGGCTTTGACCTTCCAACAGATGCACTGCCTAAGAACAGTGTCTTCAGTAAGTGGGGAAGCAGGACAGGACTTGGTTTTCAGTCACTGACTACCAGAGACAGCCTGGAGGGCTTGAGAAAACCAGGCAGGTGGCTACACCACTGCACGTACAGGAAGTGGTGCTGCTGGTGGGCAGTGCGGCAAGCCAGCAGAGGGCCACGCAGCTGATGGGCAGTGCGGCAAGCCAGCAGAGGGCCACGCAGCTGGAGGAAGGCTTTAAAAAGAGCAGGTGGAAACCACAGGCTGTTTACACTAACCCCAAGACTCCTAGGAGAAGCAAGCTCAGGCTGCTGTGCTCCACAAAGGAAAGAGCCTCCTGGGTTTGGCAGGGATACGAAGCAGATGCTGCATCTTGCTACCCTCTTCCATGGCACAAGTCCCGTGAGTGAGCAGTGCAGCCCCCGAGGAAACTGAGTCAAAAACAAAGTGATCTCGGTTCAGTTACTTCCAAGGAAGTTCTCTACTCTTCAAGCCAGCTTCATCCTGCACAGAAAAAATTCTCTGGAGGCAATAGAATGTGAAGAGTGTCATGCCAAACACAAAAATGCACCAAAAGGGCCCCTACGTTTGTGGGGTCAGAGGGTCAATGCAGAAACGTCTAGGAGTCAAGGCAGTAAAGGTTACCCATGAAGAGAAACGAGGTCAACACAGCACTAGTCCAGGCTAGACCACCGCAATTCCCTGCATTGACACTGGCATAGTGTTTAACAGGATGAGCCTTAAGACATGGGTAGACTGGCAGCCACACTGGCCACTTACTCAAGCGTCTTCATCAAACAATCCCTCTAGCCTGAGCTTCACCACTGAGAATGTGGCTCCGAACTCATCTTTCTGGTGGTGCTGTCAAGGCTTAGTGAGGTTTACACAGTACAGTCCTGAGGACCTAGCACACCCTCACACTGTTTCCGGCATGGCTTCAGGTAATCCTCAGAGGATCCTGTGAGGATAGCCACCATTATTATATCCCTATCATACAGATAAGTGGACTTCTTCGAGAAGCAATGAACTGTCCATGCTAGAGCTGAAGCAAAGTTCGAACCCAGGCATGCTGCCTTCATTATCCGCCTTGGACTTCTCCAGGCTCTGAATACCTAAGGAATCCTGAACAACACAGACCCATGGGGCCTTCTCAGAGCACATGTAAGGAACGACCAGAAGAGCAGTGGTAGAGAGAGGCTGTCTCAATATGCAGGTTCCTAGAGAGCAGGAGCAAGCTGTGTTTCTATAAACGGAAGTACAGGGAAGTGAAATTGACCCAGTCGGTTTCTTTCTAAAAGCTAAGCTGTGCCCCAGTTTTCTAAAACTTCTGCAGCCCCTGAGCCACGCCCACCCATTGCTTCTAAAGGCAAGCTGCTCTCAGCTGGGCCTCAGCCTGTAACCTCAACAGTGGAAGATGACCTCAAGTTCCAGGCCAGCTTGAACTACATAGATCCAGGCTAGGCTGTACTACAGAATGAGATCCTGTCTCAAACACATAAAGAGGAAAAGGTATTAAGGTGTCCAGGGTACGGTGGCTATGAGCACCATCCTCACATCTTCCCCCATGCTGGAGAAGAGTGCCAGCCACAGGACTGGGTCTCTAAGCAGAGGTAGTCTTACTTTGGC